GGGTTGGGCGCAAACAAACAGTGCCGCCGCGGACGATCTTCGGTCTAGTCTTTGATTGCTCAGAATCCTGTTATTTATCGAGGGCGTTCCGAACTTACATCACTTGGAAGCTTTTCCAAGCGTATTTATGCTGGTGACGTTTCAACGATTTTTCAACAAAAGAAAGTGGAAAATTAAAACTACGAGGCTGGAAGCAAATGAACAACCGAACCGCGAAAAACCTTTAGTCTGGTCTTCAATTGCTCAGAACACGATTGTTTACGAGGGCATTTAAAAAAGGTTTTTTAAGCGTCTTTATATCATCTCAAAGGTTTTTCAATTGCAGTTGACACTAAAACGCTAGAACCAAATGAACAGTGACGCTTCTTATTCCTCCACTTAGTGACTCAGAACTCAGCTGTTTCTGAGATAATTTTCAAAATTCCATAATCATTTCACATGCACTGTCGATGTCTTTGACTTTTGCCTTTATAGTGTTCGATCAACAGTGGCGTCTCGTACAGACTGCAGTCAAGTCTTCCATTGCAGAGCTCGGCTTTTTACGGCAGGATCTTCAAAATTCAAAAACGAGTTGAATTAATTATTAAAGTGTCCACTTTTACTGGGAAGTATTCTTAATTGGGGCTGGAAGCAAACGAATAGTGTCGCGGCGAAAAATCCGCCGGTCTAGTCTCTTGTTTGCTCAGAACTCGGTTATTTATGAAGGGATATCCGAAATTAAACCATCTCCTCGAAGCTGTTTTAGGTGACTTTAATTTGGTGTTCCAACAGTTCAATTGAGACTGAAACTGCGACGCTGGAGCAAAGGAACAGCGGCACCCCGAATACACTTCGGCCCTGTTTCCAACTGCTCAGAACTCGGCTATTTACGCGTACTTACACGCGTGCTTCTGAGGGCACTTTCCAAATTTAATAATCACTTAGAAGTCCATTAGTCTGCGACTTTTATTTGGACGGTTTTTCGTTGACGCTCTATATCTGAGCAACTATACAGTGGCGCCTCATCCAAGCGCCACCTAGTCTTGTTTTGCTCAGAACTCGGCTGTTTATGAGTGGATTTTGGATACCCAAAAACCCCCTGAAAGCGCATTTAAGCGTCTTGAACTCTTGTCTAAAACCCTTTCCAACTAGGCCACAAGCCATCATTTCATACAAAGGCTCTGTAAAACCCCGTTCGATTGTTTTCCTCTTACGTGCCGCTTCAATTGGAGCATAAAAAAGACGCGACCCAGAACTCCAAACGCGTACATCATGCAACAACATTGCCGATCTACGGCAGTAAACGGCAACCGAGCCCCTTAACAGGCCCGCTTTACGACTGTTCGGCCCCATTCCAGCACTCCTCAGGGCAAAACGCTCCTAAAATTACACAGGACAGGGACTTTGATGGCCCCTAAAACGAGCAATAAACTGCGTCTCAAGACGAGGCAAAGGCCTACTACTGCTGAGGTCAAATTCCTTCGCAGTGCACTTTATTCGAACGTCGCAGCACACATTCCGAGCATTGGAAATACACACTAGTGAAATAATTGGAAAACAGATGCTTTGCATTCGCAGCTACTCGAACAGGCCGGAGATCGCTCTCAAGCTAAAGTGGCTTTTCCGGCGGCCGTTATTATTATATCATATAATATAACAATTTAATGGGGGAAATTAAAGCGTCCGGTCGCTCTAAATCAGCAAAGAGAGAGAAGGACATAGGGGTTTGCTGATCTCAAACAAGGATGCAATAGGAGACAAAACAAAACAATAAATTTGTTTTATTTTTTACACACTTCTTTCTAGGTATTTCGCCTCAAAAATGTTTGTCTTTAAAAAAGACAGAATTTCCTCAGGTCTTTTATTACAGATTGATAAATAGTGCTCCTATTTCGCAATAAGAACGAA